TGCCTGCGCCGGCTGGGCCTGGAGCCCGACCGCAGTGGGACCGCCCCAGCCTGGTTCTTGCAGTTGGTGCCAGACGGGTCCTCCGTGAGGCCCTTGTGAGCCCCCTGGGGCTCCCGCTCCGGCTCGCAGAAACGAGTGACTCAGTTACCTCCTGATGCGCACTCGCGCGTCGGTTAGGCCTTGTTGGCGCCTTTCGCGGTCCGAGCGTTCGAGGGCCGGGAACACCGACCTGTTGATGGCGGCCCCAGTGCAGGGCGAGTGGTCCTTAGTCCGTTACGTGTGATTGTGAGTGTCCAGAGCCTATGTGCTAATTATCTCTAATTGCGAGGGAGGAAACTTAAGACCCGGAACTAAAGCGATAGTGTCCGCCACCCTCCCCCCACCCCCAGTATTTACTGCTTACTAGCTTTGATTGTCTGGTTTTTCCCTTGTATGAAGACATTTTTAAAGATCGAGCTGTGTTACCCGGGCGTAAGTGGTGGAAGCGCTCGAAATTTCCGATTCCGGTAGCTCTTTCAAAGTCAGTTAAGACTTGGTAAGAAATTGGGAGTGCAGCTGGGGTTTAGCATTTCAGAAGCCGACTTTAGAAAGGTTGTGAAGGACACTTCCTTGGGGATACGATCGTGCAGTTGTGGCCTGAGATTGGCCCGGTCTCGGCCCGGTCTCGGGGCCATTACTGCGGGCTCTGCTTTCTGCTTAGGTTTCTGGCTGACCTTTGGGAAATCCCAGTGCTTTTATTTTGAGATTGCGTTTCTTAGAGAAAGATTCTGTTCAAGAGCAGCTTACCACTTTCACTTTTGTGGCACACGTTGATGATCTCTGCCATCTCTGTCTGTCTGAAGTACATGCAGTGTTGAGAGCACTTATTTTGGTGCAGTACTGTTAGTCCCTGCATCTCTGAATTGTGTACTTTGACTTTGACTGGGTTCCTTTCTTTTCTTCTCCTAGCACCTGGCACAGTGATTATGCCCAAATTACTAATTAGATGCTAATTTGATAAATTGGCATTGTTCACAGTGTGTTTTATCATTGTGTATAAACTATTGATCTTCAACTCAGAATTGGAACTGGGAGAGGGGAAGGGAAAGCTATCATGAGGTTATCCTAGTAGAATCTGGTCTGTGGGAATGCAGGAGGTTCAGAACTGTTGCCCACGATGTCTGCACAAGGCTTAGATACTGACAATAAGCAGCTCGAAGTGTAAATTCCTGTTACTGCAGCCTAACTATAGCTCTGAGCGCTTAGAACAGTGTGAGCCACCTTGTAAATGTTCTTACAAATATTAGCTACAAATATTACTCCTGGTAAGCATCCCTGTTATTATTGCCCTTATCATCAGAGTCGTCATATCCACTGCTAGACCATAAGCCTCATGGCATTGAGGACTTGTGACTCTTATTTGATGTTTTGTCTCTAGAGCCTGCACAGTGTTTGACAGAGCATTGGTACTGAGAAATGAAATGAATGAGCCTGAGTCAAATTACCATGAAATACGACTAAAGTTTTAAGGGATGTCTAATTATATTGTTACCTCTTATGTGTTTTTCTCCCTCATTTTACAGGGTATAAAATTCCTGTCATTGAAAATCTCGGTGCTACCTTAGACCAGTTTGATGCTATTGATTTTTCTGACAATGAGATCAGGAAACTGGATGGTTTTCCTTTGTTAAGAAGACTGAAAACTTTATTAGTTAACAACAACAGAATATGGTAAGTGCCTGCTCGTGGAAAGTGACTTTTTTCCTTAGAGTAAATTTTTCAGTGTTCCCTAAAGAAGTTGTAGCACATGCTGCCAGTCAAACCTGCCTGTTTCTTTTTTAAAATGAGAAGTGAATGGTCATGGTGTTGGTGTTGGTCATGTCTCATTTGCATGTATTCAGAAATCTTACATGTTTATATGTTCATAGTAAGTGTCTAACTTAAATTTAGAACATGCTGCTTTGTACCCCTTTGGCTTCTAAAATATCAGTGGGGTCATAGTAAAAGGATATACAGGAGGTGTGAAAAAATGTGTACACACTTTAAGTATGACCTTCACTCAAAAGATGGCATTAATCAAATGAATGCTGGTGTCATCAGGTGACAGGCAGAGCAGTCAAAGAAAATGACAGAAGCATGATTGAGCGAACATCATACTACACATTGTCACCGTAATTTAATTTAACTTCAAGAAGTAATATATAGATAACAGCACTTAAAACGTATATACATTTTTTTCGCACCCCCAGTATTAAGTTCAACAATTACATTTTTGACTGAGTGGCTCTCTACATCACACCTGCTATTTGTTTTTCTTCTAGACTATTGCTTATTGAAATTAAGAGCTTTTTAAACCTCCCTTCATCAGCTTTGTGTAAACGTTATTGTAAAAAGTTATTGAAGGTTTATAGATAATGTCTTTAAGAAGTACTGGGTGACAAGTTGAAGGATTTTTTTTTTTTTTTTTTTTTGAGTTGGAGTCTCACTCAACCTGCTGGATTCCAGGGATCCTTCTGCCTCAGCCTTCCAAGTAGCTGGAACTACAGGCGCTCGCTACCACACCTGGCTAACTTTTGATTTTTATTGTAGAGATGAGGTCTCGCCAAGTTGCCCAGGCAGTTCTTGAACCTGCGGGCTCAGCAATTCACTCACCTCGGCCTCCCAAAGCACTTGGATTACAGGCTGAACCACTGAGCCCAACCAGGATTTTTTTTTTTTAGATAGAAATATTTCTCACAGGTTAACAACAGGGGTCCCCAACCCCCAGGCCACAGATGGGTACCATTCAGTGGTCTGTTAGTAACTGGGCTGTAAGGAGGTGAGTGTCTTCTGTCAGATCAGTGATGGCGTTAGATTCTCACAGGAGTGCAGAGTGGACCCTATTGTGAACTGCACATGTGAAGGATCTAGATTGTGTGCTTCTTATGAGAATCTAATGCCTGATGCTCTTCCCCTCGCTCTGTGGAAGAATCGTCTTCTACCAAAAATTATCTTGATACCAAAAAGGTTGGGGACTGCTGCCTCATGGTATAGTTACTGTGTGTCGTGTACCTGAGCTGTACCACTTTTTCCCTGCAACCTGTACTAAAGAATCATGAAGTGAGCAAAGTAGTTTGTTCTGTCCAGGAGACCTACCTTTTCTTAGGTCTCAGTAGACTATGGCAGTGGAAAGAAACCAAGACACTGTCCAGGAGGCATGAGTTCTAAAATGATCCCATTTCTGTCACTGTGCGGCCTCAGATAAGGCTTTCTCTTTGTGCATTTCCCCTCTGTCAGATAGGATGTTGAAAGAAGATTCTTTGACATTGACATCTAAGATCCTCTGAGCAAGGAGGTAGATGAAAGTATTAGCTTATATAATTTTCACTGTTACTAAGAGTCCGTTTTTATTTTAGCCGTATAGGTGAGGGACTTGATCAGGCTCTGCCCTGTCTGACGGAACTTATTCTCACCAACAATAGTCTTGTGGAACTGGTAAGTTGCACAGGGGGAAATGTGTTTGTGGGGAGGAGTTAGAGGTATGACGTGCTTCTTATAGAAACTTGGCAAAATCTACAAAATTTCACAGAAAATAATTTCTTTACCTTTTCTTAATTAATTCAGGTTCTGGGCCCTGGGGGTTATATATGCTACAAATATCTTCCCATTCTGGCTTGCCTTTTGACCATTTTAATATCTTGGTAGAAAAGTTCCTAATTTAAGTGCAGTACAGTTTATCAGTCTGTTTCTTTGTTGTTAGTGCTTTTGATGTTCTACTCAAACTTCCCATACCCTAGGGTTATAAAGGAATTCCTATAGTGTTTTCTAGAATTTCATTGTCCAGTAGGGTACCTGTAACCACAAGTGGCTATTCTGAATTGAAGTGTTCTAGAACTGTAAAATACACATCAGATTTTAAAGACTTTAGTACCCCAAAAAATGTAAACTAGCTCATTAATTTTTTATATTTCTGCTGAAATGATAATATTTTGGATAATAGGTATATTACTAAAATTAGTTTCACCTATTTATTTTAATGTGGCACTAGAAAGTTTTAAATTACACATCTGATATGCATTAAATTATGTTGGACAGCTCTTTTCTAGAAACTATTATTTTACTCTTCCCATTAAATGCACAATCCACCTGGAACTGTTTTTGTATGAGATAAGGGGCAAGTTTCTTTTGCACTATGTGAATGTCATTGTTTCAACCTACTCTAATTTTTATGCTTTTAAAATCTCTGCTTTGTATGTCTAATTTTAACAAAATTCTGATGTTATACATTCTGGGTTGTAAACTACATTTTTCGCTTAAATACTGGGTGTTTAAAATCCATATTGTGTAACTTGATTTGTGGTTATTATGACCTCCTTCCTTCTTTATTTCCTTGCTTGCTTAGAATAGACAACATGTTCCTTTCTTTTTTTTTTTTTTGAATTAGAGTCTCACTCTGTCACCCAGGCTGGAGTGCAGTGGTACGCTCACAGCCACTACAGCTTCAACCTGCTGGACTCAGGCAATCCTTCCACCTCAGCCTTGCAAACAGCTGGAACTCCAAGCATGTGCTGCCATGCCCAGCTATTTATTTATTTGCTTGTTTTTCATTGTAGAGACAAGGTCTTGCCAAGTTGCCCAGGCTGGTCTTGAACCCCTGGGCTCAGGGAATCTTCTCGCCTCAGCCTCCCAAAGTGCTGGAATTACAGGCTTGAGCCACCGCACCTGGCCTATATGTCCCTTTCTTTGTGGACAGAGTCCATAGCATCCTTCAGATTTTCAAAGAGATGCTTGATTCCAGAAGTAAGAAAGCACTGGTCTGTGGCCATGCTCTTTCTAAAATATGTAATGTATTCAATCTGAAATACATATTCATAGGGAATGTGTCCATTGATAGATTTGACTATCTCCCTAAAGTTCTGTTGATTTTAGCTTTTTATCTTTTGAGGTCATCTTATTTGATATACACAATTTTAAATTATTACTGTCTTCTTGATGAGCATAACCTTTTCATATCATGATCCTCTATATTATGCTGTTTTTTACCTTGAGGTTTATTTTATCTGTAATATAACAAAACAAGCCTTCTTTTGGTCAGCATTTGCATAATATATATTTTTTCATCTAAAATACACTTTCAACTTTTCTGTACCTTATATTTTGGTTTTGTCTCTTGAAAATAGCATATGATTGGGAGTTTTAAAAATTCAGTCTGAAGTATTTAGTCTATTTGCACTTAATGTAATTACTGGTGTATTTCAGTTTGTCTTCTTTTCTGGGGCTTTCTATTTGTCCCATCCACTTTGCATTTCTCTTTCTTCTTCCTTTTTCTTTTTCTTTCTTTTTTTTTTTTTTTTTAAGCAACAGAGTCTGCTTTGTTGCTCAGGCTAGAACCTCAAATTCCTGGGCTCAAGCAGTCCTGCTTCAGCCTCCTATGTAGCTAGGACTACAGGTGTCCGCCATGACTAGCTAATTTTTAAATTTTTTGAAAAGTTGAAGTCTCACTTTCTTGCCCAAGCTGGTCTTAAACTTCTGGCCTCAATCTCTCCTTCCACCTCGGCCTCCCAAAGCACTGGGATTGTAAGGCATGAGCCACCCCATCCAACCCCCCTCCTCTGTTTTTATCTGTACTTTCTTTCTCATTGTTCCTCTTCTCCCTGTCTACTCAATTTAGATCTTTTTCTAGCAGTTTCTCCCCAGTTAGAGGGCTTTGTCTTGGAACACGATTTCTGGTTAATGTTAAGAGGACCCAAATTGTTCTAGCCCCTTCAGATTTTATCACAGACTCATTGTACTCATCATCATTGGAATGTTTGGATCTTTTGGCGGCTTTTCTAAAACTGAGTACCTGTCAGTTGTTTTGGGGTTAGCCAGTTTGTCATATGCCTCCTTGCCGTCCCTCTGCTTCTTTGTACACAAATGTTGTTATTGTGCAAGTCTTGTTACTCTCAAAATGGTTTTCCCTGCTTGTTCCTATTTAGGGTTCTTGAGGAATATCTTATTATTCAGTTAGGTTATAGCTGTTGGCAGAAGATTTTTTAATTTGCTATCCTTGTTGCACTATGTTTTATGGAACAGTTTGGGAGGATTTAAAAACCGCCCTGCCTTCTTCCTATAATTGGGTCTTTTTTAAACTGTACTGCTCCTTGTTTTTGAAAAATTATTTAAAGAGATATATGGAGCACCTAGGATAAAGGTGTCTTTCTTCAAAGACTATGTGCCTTGTTCTTGGGCACCCGAAGGTGGTGTTAGCGGGAGAGACCACAGTACACTATGATTTGGGCTTGGGGTTCATTGAATGAATGGCTTACTCCAGAATTATGTCAACTTTGGTATTGTTTTCCAAATCATTGCTCCTGTAACCATTTCGAGATTGCTATAGGAAACCAAATAATTTTTTGTCACTTCTCCTATTGAGATAGAGGCTGTTAATGCTAAGGTTTTAAGTTTAAAAAGCTCAAGTGTATTCACCAGTTTATTCAATAAAAATTATTTAAGCATTTGTGATGTGCTAGTCATTTCAAAATCTCTAAATAGCATGTGATATTAGCATTTTTACCTTTGACCGTTACTTTACAGGGTGATCTGGACCCTTTATCATCTCTCAAATCACTGACTTACCTAAGGTATGGAAATTAATGTGGTGACAAAACTAATGAAGTCTTTTAAAATAATATTCTTTACCAGTCTTGACCTTAATGCAATCAGGCAGCAAAAAGTACCTTTTAAAAACAAGATGTTTGGAAAATGTTTCCTTACTGTTAAGTTGTTGTGACATTGAAATGTAAAGAACAGTGAACTTTCCCTGGATTTATAGATTCATTAGACTATTCATATGGACCTGTTGAATGCTTTGCCATGAACAAGATTGGATTGTGTTGTTCCTTTTCTTGTAGTATTCTCAGAAACCCTGTAACAAATAAGAAGCATTACAGACTGTATGTGATTTATAAAGTTCCACAAGTCAGAGTGCTGGATTTCCAGAAAGTGAAACTAAAAGTAGGTATTCTGTTGCTTGAGTCATTATAGTTTTGTGTTTTTCTTTATACTTTTGTTACTGATTTTTTAAAGTTGTCTAACTGAGTAAATTTTACCATTACTTTGTTTGTAATAAAAATATGGGGGGAAAGGTTAAGTCAGATTTTCTTTCTCATAGCAGATTTTATGGTAAGACTTTGAATTAAAGTTCTGTTATGTAATATTGGCCACTCCAAAGTTTGCAAACTGTTAAAGCCACAGTGAACACTATTACCAATGGATTGTCTGCATAGATACATTTCTAATGGGGCACTTAATATCATCCATTTTTGAGCAACTCTGATTGTTAGAATTGTTTTTGCTTTATTAGGAGTTCATTATTTATTTAATTTTTCTTCCCTTAACCTTCTTAGTTCCTCGAGAGCCTCTCCTTGAAACTAGGAGAGGGAACTTATTTCAGCAAGTTTTACCAGAAAAGGCAAGACCATTGTGTCTTTTAATTTGAAGTTTGCTTTTTGGTATTTTTACCAGCCCAGAGTATTTTAGGAGCATTCTCTTCCATGTTTTCTGAGGAATGCATCTAAATGCATGTGGTATTCCTATTTCCATTAACTCTGTGTGTGGTGTTGCTGTAGGAGCGTCAGGAAGCAGAGAAAATGTTCAAGGGCAAACGGGGTGCACAGCTTGCAAAGGATATTGCCAGGAGAAGCAAAACGTAAGATACGGATATCCAACTTACTCGACTTCACCTTCAGAAACACTGTTTGGCAGTTTGCCTCCTACAAAATTAACAAAAACCATTAAATACAGCATTAAATTTGACCCTCAATGGTCCATATATCACAAGACATGTCTACCAGTTAGCAGAGCAAATACTTCAGTATTTAGTCTTCATGTGATATTATATACATCCTGTCTTCTCTATAGGAAGATGAACTGAGTGGTGTTTCTGAAGGAGAGAGTTCTTGTATCAGTTTGTTAACAAAGATAAGATACTACACTGGTTGAATTACTTTCAAAAGCTTTTGAAAGTAAAAGAGAAGCAACTTTATTGGTCTGAGTTTAACAGTTAATGTTCTTCCTCCCTCCTAAGTTTTAATCCAGGTGCGGGTTTGCCAACTGACAAAAAGAAAGGTGGACCATCTCCAGGGGATGTAGAAGCAATCAAGGTAATAATGTGTTAGGATTCTTGTACTGGAAAGAGCTGAGATGGGTTTAGAAGACAGAGTTAGGTAATAATTAGTTCTGAACATTGCAGATTTCATTTTCCATAGGTTTTGGCAAACAGCTATATTTCTATTTAGGAAAAACCTGGCTTAAAGTTATTATTTGACCAGACTTTGACTTGAGCCAACTGAAGTGGAGGCAACTTGTCCTCATTTTTCCAGGATACATTTATCACTTTGAACAGTTAGCTACCTTGGTATGCTGTCTCAGTGTTTGTCTTAATTTTTACTTTCAAAGATTTGCTGTCTGACAAATTCTGTTGGATGGCCAGTGGGAAATCCTTATTTTATAATATTTCCTACTAAATTATTTAACAACATAATTCCAAATAGGTACTTCACTTAACTAAAATTTTAGCACATGTGGAATGATCTGCTTTCTTTTATAAGAGGGCCTGCATCTCTTCACCATTTTGGAAGTGTATTATTTAGTTTCTAGGTTTATTTCAGTGTGCCAGTAAAATTCTTTTCCCAGCACAGAACTGTTTAATGTTCCAACTCAAAAAGTTGCTATGAGTTTATGTCGGTGTTTTCTGGATAATGCATATTTAGTTGAAATTGATTGTCCACTTCCATTGCCTTCTGTCCTCCAGAATGCTATAGCAAATGCATCAACTCTGGCTGAAGTGGAGAGGCTGAAGGGCTTGCTGCAGTCTGGTCAGATCCCTGGCAGAGAACGCAGATCAGGTGAGCAAACAGTGGTCTGTCTTTGTGTGTTCAAATTAATGTTATACCCAAAGTGTAACGCTCAAAACAGTTTAGATGCTATGATCCCAGAATGCCAGAATAGTGCCTCCTTACATAAAATCTAGAATACATAAAATCCCCTTAAATGCTGTTTGAAGATAAAGACTGTATAAAATGAAGAAAGTTAAGACATAAGACTATGGGAGTTTTATGTAAAGGTTGAGCAAGCATTATTTTATTTTATTTATTTATTTATTTTGAACTGGAGTCTCACTCTGTCGCCCAGATTGGAGTGCAGTGGCACACTTCCGGCCACCACAGCCTCGACCTGCTGGGATCTAGCGATCCTTCCGCCTCAGCCTTCCAAGTAGCCAGAACTACGGGCACGCGCTACCATGCCTAGCTAATTTTTTTGATTTATTGTAGAGACAGGGTCTCGCCAAGTTGCCTAGGTGGGTCTGAAACCTGCGGGCTCAGGCAATCCACTTGCCTCAGCCTCCCAATGTGCTGGGATTACAGGCTGAACCACTGAGCCCGGCCAGCAAGCATTATTTTATAGCTATAGAGTGAACTGAACACTTGAGGTAACCAGGTGGACTTTTGCCCATATACATTTGTGTGTGTGTATAATAACTTCATGGTTAGGAACACAGGCTCTAGACCTGAGCAGTCTGAGGCTCAACTCAGCTTCACCAGCTCTATCCTTGGACAAGTTTCTTCAAGTCAGCGTCTTCATCTTTAACTCTGCGCTCAGAGACATTTCATGGATCTCAACTCTACCAGCAACTCAAACACATTTTTTACAAAATAGTGAAAAACAAATCACTTCTTATTAAACAGAATAGTGTTGGAAACAATTATTTTACTGTAATGATATTTATCTTATGAAATTTTGGACATTGAGGAACTTATTTATGACACAAGAATCAAAATTTATCTCTTATATTTTTTTCTAGTGTGTGAAACAGTCACCCACAAGTATTGAAGGTTCATTGATACATGCTGTGCAATAGTAATTTGTCTGATGTCTTCCATCTAGTGTTATTCTATTAGAGCAGACAGTACAGTCTTGTTTTCTTCTTCCTACCTTAATAATATAGAATTTGGCTAGGCATGATAGCTCAGCCTGTAATCCCCACACTTTGGGAGGCCAAGGCAAGAGGATTGCCTGAGCCTGCGGGTTCGAGACCAGCCTGGGCAACTTGGTGAGACCTCGTCTCTACAATAAATCACAAAAACTAGCCAGATGTGGTGGCATGTGTCTGTAGTTCCAGCTACTTTGAAGGCTGAGGCGGAAGGATCGCCTAAGTCCAGCAGGTAGAGGCCACGGTGGCCGTGAGTATGCTGCTACACTCCAGCCTGGGTAACAAGAGTGAGACTCCAACTCAAAAATAATAATAATAATAGTAATAATAATATAGAATTTAATAGCCGGGCTCGGTGGCTCAGCCTGTAATCCCGCGCCTTTGGGAGGCTGAGGTGAATGGAATGCCTGAGCCCGCAGGTTCGAGACCCGCCTGGGCAGTGAGACCTCATCTCTACAATAAATCAAAAAATCAGCCGGGCATGGTAGCGCATGCCTGTAATTCCGGCTATTCGGAAGGCTGAGGCGGAAGTATCCTCGGAGCCCAGCAGGTCGAGGCTGCGGTGGCCAGGAGCGGCTACTGCACTCCAGTCTGGGCGACAGAGTGAGACTCCAACTCAAAATAATAACAATAATAATAATAATAATAATATAGAATTTATTGTCCAGTCTGTTCAAAGAAGATATGGAAAGACGTACTCGTGATTCCTAAAAACCACTTCTCAATTGATAGACCATACCTCCGTCTATATTCCATCTCTTTGTTTGATTTTTTTGTGTGTGTGCAATTTGAATGGAAAACTTCAAGGAAACAGACATTTTCGAAAATTTTGTGCTGATATATTTGTCCTTATAATCACCTGCAATCTCTTTGGGGACATTTGAGTGGTTTCCTAGATTTATGGTGTCCCCTCAAAAGGGACATTCAAGTGCAAAGGGTTAAATATGAGATAATAATAACCAACCTCAAACGGTTGCTGAGAGGACTAAAACATTGCACTTAACACAAGGCTCAATATTAGTGAGTTTTTGATAAGTGATAACTGTGCTAATATTCTAATACCTACTAGTCAGACAACATGTTGGACATTGAGAATGTAAACTAAAAATATTCAAATACATATTAGAAGTTTTTATATGAATGTAACTGGAGACCTTTACTTAGCCTAGTAGCTCAGGGAAATTTTCTTTGGAAATATTGTTTGAGCTGGGAACTAAAAATGAGTAAGGCTTTTTTTTTTTTAAAGACCAATAATTCTCTACTGTGTGCTCCTTGGGCCCCTGGGGACCTGCAAGGTCAAAGCTATTTCTTGAATGACACCGACGTGTTACTTGCTTTTTCCTTTTTTTTTGAGTTGGAGTCTCACTCTGTCACCCAGACTGGAGTGCAGTGGCACGCTCCCGGCCACAGCAGCCTCGACCGGCTGGGCTCCAGTGATCCTTCCGCCTCAGCTTTCCTAGTAGCAGGAACTACAGGTGCGCGCTACCACACCCGGCTAATTTTTTGATTTATTGTAGAGATGAGGTCTCGCCAAGTTGCCCAGGCGGGTCTCGAACCCGCAGGCTCAGGCAATCCACTCACCTCAGCCTCCCAAAAGCGCGGGATTACAGACTGAGCCACTGAGCCTGGCTTTACTTTCTCACTTGCTTTTTTCATTGTATTAACTAACATTTGCACAGAAGGGGCAAGAGCAGTGGTGGGTACAATTGCTGGTACCCCAGCATGAGTCAAGTCAGCGGCTTAGGTGATACTAGTTATCATATTCTTCCCTGCTGTGCACTCTCAGTAAAATGTATACCGGTGTCACTTCAGAATGCCCTGGATGGAGCAATGAAAATTATTGTGTTAAATTTATTAGACAAGTCAATTAACTAATAAGACACAGGTAAAAAGAGTGAATTAGAGAACTAGAATCCAAAGTTGAAGAAATTAACAGATTGCCACAGAAACCAAAAGAAAGGAAACTATGTTTTTTTTTTAAAAAAGGTTAAGAAACATTAAAGAAATAAAGGATTACCATATATGCTAAGAAATCTGGAAAGAGATAATAGTGAGGCTGAAGGAGAAACAATACATGAGGATAGAATGCCTAAGAATTTTTCAGAATAGATGAAATACACAAATTCCCAGATTCAGTACGCAAAACAAAAAACAAGCAGGATTCAACATACACACAAAGATAAACAGACTCTTGGACACATAATACAGTGAAATTTCAGAATTCCAAAAGCAAAAAGAAAATTTCAAAGAGCCAGACAACACAGTGTGATGGATAAAGAGAAGGAAAGATGGAAACGAAAGGATGAAGGAGGAAGAAGTAATAGGAAAGAAGGAAGGAGTATTACTGAAAAGAATAGAGAAGCAGGGAAGAGAAAAGAAGTACTGAAACCAGTCTGTGTTACTTTTATTCTCTTCACATTCTCTTCACGCCTGGCCAGATGTGACTTTTTTGATACTGTGTAATGAAATGGCTCAACATTTGTAAGATCTGCAAAACTCAGTGAACTATTGCTTTCCAAATGATATAGAATCGTGCATGGGTAAAAGAGTCATTCAAAGTACAGGATAGACCAGTGGATTTTTGAGTAAGAGAGTATAAAAATTTTATTGATAAGGTTTCAAACTTCACATTACCAACTAACCTTTGAGAAACTACCACTTGCTAGGTGCAGTGGCTCACGCCTATAGTCCCAGCACTTTGGGAGGCCGAGATGAGAGGATTGCCTGAGCCTGCTGGTTTAAGACCAGCCTGGGCAACCTGGCGAGACCTCATTTCTACAATAAATCAAAAAAGTAGCCGAGCATGGTGGTGCATGCCTGTAGTTCCAACTATTTGGAAGGCTGAGGTAGAAGGATTGCCTGAGCCCAGCAGGTTGAGGTTGCAGTGACTGTGAGTATGCCACTGTACTCCAGACTAGGTGACAGAGTGAGACTCTGACTCAAAAAAAAAAAAGAAAAAGAAAAAGAAAAACTACCACTTGTCAAATGTTGGCATTGTATCTAAAAAGAATATCTGCGGAGGCAGATAAAATTCTTCCCCCAACAGTACTGTTTGATCTTCCAACTCAAAAAGTTGCTGTGAGTTTCTGTGGGTGTATTCTGGGTGATTGTTACTTTGTTGAAATTGATCATCCACCTCCATTGCCCTCTGTCCTGCAGAATGCTATAGCAAATGCATCAACTCTGGCTGAAGTAGAGGCTTCCTCCCCTTTCTAACTATGTCTGTGTGGCCAGATTTTCTGCATATGTCTTCATATTCTTTAATCAGAATAACATATTGCAACAGATGGATTGCTAATGCCAGTACAAAAATCCAGCTGACTTCTGTTAGGTCAGACATTACAGAATAATTTTCTCAAGCAATTGACAGTTAAAGCTTTCCGCATAACCCCCCCCCCCCC